ATTTTCATTGTACTGAACCATCCCAAGGGCCATCTTAATGCTGATGATCAAGCAAAGGAAGCTGAAAATTCCAGATTGTGGTCAAGTAACCAAATAATTAGACACAGATTTGTTGTTTTTAACTATGAATCTCTGAGTGTACATTTTAGATGTATTTGAGCTGCTTGTGAGTTGTTTTATTTTCAGAAATCAGATGCCTTCTTAATATTAATCATCCCTGGGGCTTCCCTGGTGGCACAGTGGTTAAGAATCCACTTGCCAATGCAGGGGACACAGGTTCAAGCCCTGGTCCAGGAGGATCCCACATGCCATGGACCAAATAAGCCCATGCACCACAACTCCTGAGTCTGTGCTCTAGAGCCCATGAGCCACAACTACTGAGCCAGCATGCCACAACTACTGAAACCCACATGCCTACAGCCTGTGCTCCACAACAAGAGAAGCCACTGCAATGAGAAGCCTGTGCACCACAATGAAGAGTAGCCCCTGCTTTCTCTGAGTAGCCCCAGAGAAAGCCCATGTGCAGCAACAAAGACACAATGCAGCCAAAAATAAATAAATTTATATTAAAAAAAGAGCTCTTACTAAAATTAAAAAAAAATAGTAATCATTCCTGATATTTGTATAGTGCTTTACTAAGTGTCCTCAAGCATTCTCTCTTTTATTGGTAATAATTAATAGCAGTAGTGCTTTCTGAGTGCTGACCATGGGCCAGGCACTGGACTCAACACTCAGGTGTATCAGCAACTATAATCCTTCTGCATTGCTATGAGGAAAAGGTGATACCCTCTCCATTTATGGATAAAGAAACTGAGACGTGGAAAAATTAAACATCCTGTCCCAGCTCACCCAGACTATATATGGTGGAATCAGGATTTGAAAGCCAGTGTGCTACATGTTAGATTTTTTTATTTACTTGAAGATGAAGATTATATCCTGATCTTTCTTTTCTTGATTTATAGTACTGTTACCAAGTCCAAGCTCACTCTGCTTGCCACACAACAGACCAATAAATAGGGAGATGAGATGTTAAGGCAAGGAATAGCGACTTTATTCGGAAAGCTGGAAGACTGAGAAGATGGCAGACTAGTGTCCCCAAAACCATCTTACCGGGCTCTGGATGCCAGCTTCTTTTATAGAACAGAGATGGGGAGGAGGTGAGGAAGTAAAGTAAAAGGGCCGTTAGTTTTGCCTGGCTTGGCCAGCACTGGGGAGGGTATGTGAGAATTTCTTCCTTTCTACAGCCATTCATACGTGGGCAGGGTCAGATTGTCTCCCTGTGAGCTGAACAAAGGCCCATTAGTTTAACATTCAGGCAGAGGGGCAGGGTTCCCTGAGGCAGACCATTATGTATGATTATAGTAACAAAAGCAATGAAAAGCAAAGGTTAAAGTCAAAGAAACAGATCCAACATGGAGTCAGATTTTGCTCTTCCCTGTTATAGTACATCCTCCTGACAACAACTCCATGCCAATTCTAAAAATCATGTGAAATAAAGCAGAAAAAACATTGCAATATAATTCCAAGAGGAAAAAATAGGGTACCAAAGTGTATATTGTGTACGATTACAAATATTTTTTATTTTTTTAATTTATTTTATTTTTTATTTTTTTGTGGTATGTGGGCCTCTCACTGTTGTGGCCTCTCCCATTGCAGAGCACAGGCTCCAGATGCACAGGCTCAGCGGCCATGGCTCACAGGCCTAGCTGCTCCATGGCATGTGGGATCTTCCTGGACCAGGGCACGAACGTGTGTCCCCTGCATCGGCAGGCAGACTCTCAACCACTGCACCACCAGGGAAGCCCCACAAATATTTTTTAAAAGAAAGAAAGAAAATTATGTCTAGATTCTAGAAAAAAAATTATCAAAATGTTATTTATAGTTGTGGTATTATGGGTGGGATTATGGGCTACATTTTTCTTCTTTCTATATTTTCTATTTTTTGAAAAAACGATAGCAAACATTTAAAATTATCAATAAAAGAAAGAAGAAAAATAACTGATAGCATTCCTCCAGTGTGTTGAGCAATTCTTAAGTACAATTGATATATACATTTCCTGAGGGACCAACAATCTATCTCAGGGGTCAAAGCCTGCGGCTCCTAGAGAAGGGACCCAAGGGCATGCAGAACAAGCTAAAGTGCCCACACTAGGAATTGGGGAGGGAGGCTCTGGTTCTCTAACATGAGTGTTGAAACAGAAATAGGTTCGAGGGGCAAATGTCTTGAGCAGATACATACATTAGTGCAAGTACGTGTGCCCGATGAACAGTGAGTCCAAACAAACTGAAACATCAGAGTTTGGAGCAGAGAAAGATTTGTTGCAGCGTCATGCAAGGAGACGGGTGGCTTATGCTCTAAAATTCATCAAAGCTTTTTTTTGGCCACACCACTTGGCTTTCAGTATCTTAGTTTCCTGACCAGGGATTGAACCCGCACCCTCTCCAGTGAAAGGCGGTGAAAGTTCAGAACCCTAACCACTGCACCGCCAGGGAATTCCCTCCACAAAGCATTTTTTAAATGCCTGGGGAGGGAAGGGGTCGCAGGGTATGTAATCAGCTCATGCACAATTCTCTGACTGGCTGATGGAGAGGTAACAGGGTGGTGTCACAGGGGTTAACATTATGAGCCCTTAGGCTCCAGGAGGCTCCAGGTCATCAAGTAGTTAACATCTTCCATTTAGTGGGAGGTTTTCACATCTGTAAAACAACTCAGGAAATGTGCCTCAAATACTGTTATCTGGGTACTTCAGAGAGAAGCTAAAGCAGAGGATATGGGTGAAGTGCCTGTCCTGGGGAGGCCCCATAAAGTCCTGCTCAGTTACACATAGTGGTAACAATCAGATAGAAGTGTGTCTGGGAGGAAAGCAGGGGCCATTTTTGTGGAGAGATAAGTTTTGCAGGGCAGACTTACTGATGAACTCTGTGTTGTCAATCAGGCACCTTCAGAAACAGGGCAGAGGGGTATTTTTCAGACTCTGGGTGTTTGATCCTGGTTGGGTAGGGAGGACAGCGAAAGGGAAGACAGATATCCCCATCTCCCTCCTCCTTCTAAGGTATTCTACAAAGTTTTCACTACAGAGCCAACCATGTTATTTTTTCCTGGTCAAAATCCTTCAGTGGCTCCCCACTGCCTCTCAGGTAAGTGCAAACACCAGATGTCCATTTAAGGCCCTTCACCTCATGGAGCCAGCTCCACCAGTACTGCCTCAGATTCCTCCCCTACACATCCTGAGGCTGCAGGGTAATTCAGCTACTTGGTGTGTCCTTTCTATGTTTACTCTTTTACACCTTCACTCACTCCATTCCCTCCCTAGAAACATCCTCCTCACAACCATATTTTGCAGTCAAAATCCATTGACTTTCCCTCTTCTCTGTTATTCATTCATTCATTCATTAATACTTAGCCCTTTGTTATGTTTATGGCCCTTTGGAGGGATGAGAAAAGGTTTTATCCTTCCTTGTATCTTAATATCAAGCACAAGGGCTCCATGATCAGCATATGCCCTGAGAGTATTTTGTCGAGCTAAAGACTAGGATGGCTGTAGGCTTTATTCTGCTTTGCTGCTTTCTAGATTTCTGGGGCAGGGAATTACCTAGTGAAATACATAGTAAGAATGTGATGACCAAAGCTGTTGCTCAGATAGCCTCCTATTCTGTACCTGGTTTTCTTGTCACTCGCTCATTCATTTATGTATTCATTCATACATTCAGTAAACACTGTGTGCCACTAAAAGCTAGATGCTATGGAAGATGCTATGGTAGAAATATAAAGGAAAATAAGATATAATTACTCCTGTCTGAGAGTTTATAATCTATCAGTGTAAAAAGCCAAGTTTAAAAGAAGGATATGGACAGGTCTGCTTCCAGTATGAAAGTGCCTGTTTGTTTTACATTACTCTACCACTGAAAACAACTATAAACACTGGACAAGATACAAGAGACATCTGTTTGAGGGTCTTAAGGCAGTCAAGATTCAGGGTCATAGAAGTTGGAGAGAAGAGAAATCCATTGAGGTGATTCAGACATTCTATGCAGATTTTCCACTCAAGGCAATTCCATAATGCTGATTCATAAAACCCAGGGATAGAGAAGCTGGGAAGCCTAGCAGAAAATAGCTACTAAGAGAAACTGAGCAGTGCTTTTAATAGTATCATGGAGTTGGGGAAGTAAAACTGGAGTTCAGGACTTCAGGGAGAGCTTGGGTTAGTTGTAGAGAAGGGAAGCAGCCCAACCCTTGGAGTGACTTATCCCCTCAAGGCATTCACTAATTGGCAAATAGCAGCATAGACAGAAACTGAACCAATAACTACAGAACCAAGAGATTATGGAAGTAAGCAGAGTCTTTCAGAGTCTCACAAACAGAAATGAGCCTTGAGGGCTTGTCAAGAAGAAACAGCCCTCATAAAGTGAGTTTTTGAGTGAGAGCCATTTAAGGATTATACCCAAGGAATAAAGGAATCAGAAATAGGTCGGGCCTTTAAAGACTTTTGAAGAAACCAGGCTCTAAAGAGCTCAATCCTAATTGGATTCAGGTGACTGCCCCCATTCTAATTGCTTGCCAGAAGCTGAAGACTCATCTATAGCCTTTATAATATTTTTTACACAGTTTCTAGTATTTAATCAACAATTAACAACCATAACAAGAGGCAGAATGGAGAAACAGATAATAAAAACAGACCCACAGTGATCCAGATACTGTAGTCATCAGACATAGACTTTACAATAACTAGAATTAACATGTTTAAGACAGTAGATACACTGCTTCTTAGAGAACCAGCATTTGGATGGATCTTTGAAGACTACTTGGGATTTCAGTCAACCCATCCTTACTTCTCAAAGGACTCGGTGTTAAGATACAGCTCATTCTAGCCAAAGGTGGGTCTCAGGGAGGAAGAATAAAGCAAGGAAGGGCCAAATTCAGGGGTATTTTATCCAGGGCTAGATCAAATGTGTTTGTGCAGGGGGTAGGGAAACAACTCATTTCTGCTTATTTATTGTAGGATTTCTTCAGTAAGTCTGACCCATTTCTGGAAATTTTTCGAATGAATGATGATGCAACTCAGCAGCTTGTGCACCGAACTGAGGTGAGAAGAGCCATCTTCAGCTGTGCCATCTCGTCTCTTTAAGATGAAACACTGACCTGTTTTGAGAAACCCCTTCCCTTTCTTAATGTCTGTAGCTAACCCTCAAGACCTGAAGTCTTCCCAGTCCTTAAGAGGGCTCTTTATTCTCAATGTGGGTGTTATAAGAGGAGACCCTTTCTCACCCAGATTTTCCATTATTGACCTTTAATGCAGAAAGCCAGCAACTTATTAATAATAAAAAGATGAATACTAGCTAATATTTAATAAACATGACTAGGTACCAAGCATTTGACTGACTGATCTCATATGCATCATTTTATTTACTTCTCACAACTATGCATTGACATGATTATTATTACCCCATTTTACAGTTGAAGAAACTGAACTTTGAGGAGGTCAAGTCACCTTCCCAGTGAGCAAGGGGTAGAGCTGAGGTTTGAATTGAGTTTGACCCTGAGCTTTGCTGCAGTTTGAGAAGCCAATCTGCCTCCCCAGGGAAAGTCCATACACGGGACTGATGTCAGATCTGTCGTACGAGTGGCTGTCCTGTATCAGCAGGCATTTGGTCTGGCTGCATCTCCCTCTCACCCTCCTACATTCTCTCCACGTGACTCCGAAGCTTCTCCTTCACTATCCCACCCCCACTACCCACCACCACGCACCCACTTAACAACCAACCCTAGTCTCCACTTTTTATTTTATTTTATATACAAGCCAGTTCAAGAGAGACTGTGTGGGGGTGAGAAGTGCATTGATAAGGAGGAATGGCTTGGCGCTGAGAGAAAAATGTGCTGCCAGTGTGGGGTAAAGGAAGAAGGAACTCTCATGACTCTCTCAGGATGATAGTGGGGTGCTGTGTTCCCATACTCTACACTGGAAATCCATTTCCTTTTTCCTGAAGTAGCAGAGTTGCAGGTAGCATTAGGGGAACTTTTCATGTCATATTTAAGGTAAACAAGAATCGAATAGTCTTGGACAGGCTAGTTCTGTGGATGTCATCTGGTACATGGTTAGCATTTAATAAAGTGTGTCTACTAAAGAATGAATACATGAATGGAGTTGAATATTGATAGTATGTCCACTCCCTGTGATAGTATAACGTGATTCTTTGGACAATCACAAACTATTCCCTGGGGAATAGTTTCAAATGCAACTGGGATGGTTTCCCTGAGTGGCACCCCATCACCATCACCAAATAGAACTTTTTCCCCACATAAAGATTCCTTTGGTGGAATAAAGTTCTCTCAGGAGAAGTAACTAAATGTTGGGGAGAATCAGAAGTGGTACCCATTCATGCCTTTGCTTGAGCCAGTGCACGGGGACTTGAATGTTCAGGGAGAAAGAAGAGGGGTGGCATATCGTTAGACTTCTTCTTCACTCCTGATGGCATCCCTCCAAGAAGAGGTAGATTACCCTGTTCCCCTCTAACTCTTCCTCATACCCCATTGTGAGGGGCTCCTGGAATCTCATAAGAATTGTGATTGTAAAGTTTTCCAATTAGTCAATCAACATAACATTGATTTTTCCTCTTTCTTACTCAATAGATACAAAATAAATACCAGGCAATACCTTTCTTTCTGGGTAAGCACATGTGTGTGTGTGCATACACACACACACACACACAGATTTTAATTTCAGAGGAAATTTCTAGTTGAAATTTTGATCTGCTATTGAGTTTTATGAAGCTGTTGTAATGAAACATCTTCACTTTTTAATATTTCTATACAAAGGTGAGAAATTTAAATTAACCAAAACAATTTTATCTAACTTTTCTTCTCACTATCACTTTGCTCATTCAGGGAATGAGAGCAAAAAGCAGTCACATAGGAACATTATTTTTCTACTTTTTAATGCATTAAAGGAAATTTAATAATGAACCTACAATATAATCAATAATTCATCATTATATTAAGGAATTCAGGAGAAGAGGGAATCACTTATAAAATAATTATGTTATGTAGATAGAGAATTATATTTTTTTACAATTCTAAGCCTCTGCTAACTAAAAACTTCATAGGAAGAAAAGTCAATATGACAGAACTCCGTTTAACTTCGTTTGTATGTCCCCTAGAGCAGTGGTTCTCAAATATCATGCATCAGAATCACCTAACGGCGCACCTCGAGAGTTTCTGTCAGTAGGTCTCAGTGGAATCTAGACATTTGCATTTTTAACAAGTTCCTGCTGGTCCAGGTAGCCCCTGCCCTAGATTACACAGTACAATCTTAGGCGCAGAGCAAATACTCATATGCTAAACCAAATTGAATTACTGAATCATCTGATGGCAGAATAAGACTTGACTCGAATAGACTCTCAGGCAGGATTTAGCCAAGTTCATGATTAGTAAACTGCTTTTAAAAGGGTTTCACGATATTGCAGTCTTAGTTTGTGATCCTGAAGTTCTGAAGATCTGCCCTGTTATGCTTCCCGAGCATACCTAGTATAAATGTATTCCTGGGATTTTTCTTCTGGAAACTTTTCTTCTGACTTGCAATCTGATCTAACCAAGGTCACAGGTCATCAAAGACTGCTCAGTTCTTCAGCAGCAGAATTGTCCTGCCACACCCCCCCCCACACACACCAATAGGCTTTACGTATGCTGACCTCAGAAGAGAATTTATGCCATAGGACTGACAGTCCTACAGAACTGGGGATACTTTATCAGAGGCAGAGGCAGCCCATCTCCTTAATCCCAACCTGTTTTGATATAGAAGGGGTCATCTCCAGCATCCACATACTGGACAATATTATTGTCATTATTCATGAAATAACAGCCAGGCCAGTGACTGCAAGAGTTCTGCCCATAACAATCCACCTAGTGGGCACCCTTGAAAGGTTTACTACTCCAAGTTTTCATTAAGGCACCTTTTCCAGACAATTGTCCTTAGCATAAGCACCACAGTATTTCTCAAGCAGTTTTTATGTTGAAATGTGAAAATGTCAAGCACTTCCTCTCCCACCCACCACTCCTCTCTTTTTTTCCTCAGGTTGTGATGAATAACTTAAGCCCAGCCTGGAAATCATTCAAAGTATCAGTAAATTCTCTATGCAGTGGAGATCCCGACCGCCGGCTGAAGGTCAGAAATCTGTCTGTCTGAGAAATGTAATTTTACATATTTATCCCTCCTCTTTCTCTTCAAGTGAATGTTGGCAAACCCAAAATTTTCTGTATCATTTACCCAAATCTCTTAGCATCTTGATGAAAGAAACAAGGGCTCTCCTTTCTGCTGGAGCCATTGAAGCTCCTGAGATAACATGAGATAAATCTCAATCATGTTACGTTAAATGGCAAATCCCATGGCTTCTAGGAGAGAAACTGTGGCAATAAGTTCAGGGTATATTTGGGAGTTATTAAAAACACAAATACTGTTGTTATCAGTTATCTACCACTGCATGACAGACTACTCCAAAATTTAATACTTAAAACAATAGCCATTTATTTAGCTTATGATTCTGTACATTGTCAAGTTGAGTTCATCTAGGAGGCTCTTTTCTTGGTCTTGCATGGACTTCCTCATGTATTTGCAGTCAGCTGTACCTGAGCAGGACACCTCTGCTTCTGGGGTTTGTCTGGCTGTCATCTGGAATGATCAGGGTGGCAGGGCCATTTGTCTCTCATCGATCAGCAGGCTAGCTTGAATTACACACTCAGCAACCTTAGGGTCCAAAAGAGCCAGGACAAAACATACACATCTCGAGGCCCAGTCTCAGAACATGAGGTCACTTCCTCTGTGTTCTATTGGCCAGTCACACAGCCATCCCAGATTCAGGGATGAGGAAATAGGACATGGACTCTACCTCTTGGCGGGAAGAGCTGCAGACTATGGTGGCCACTTTTTTCAGTCTACCACACATGCTTTTTGAGTATCATGGGAATGTAGAAGTTGGAAGAAAAGATTCATTATAAGAGTCAGGACGACCAAAGGAGGACAATAGGCTAAGTGCCTAAAGCAGACTCCCAGAGTCATTCCTTATGGTCCCTGGTCTGGCCCTCTCTCTACCTTGGAAGTCCAGAAGCTCCATGTTGTCAGTGTCCCAGAAGTGACTCTACCAACTCAGGATGACTGAGTAAATTCAATAGAGACCAGAGCTATAAATCAAAAGGCCGACAGGTTCATGTTCAGTGAGAAACATGACCCTCAAGCAGACTCAACATTCATATCAGCTTTACCAGAGCATTTTCTCCATGTGGGCAAACCATGGGGAAGACAGTTTTCAGAAGGTTGTGTGACAGCCTAAAAGCAGAGCCAGGGAAGCTGGATAATGGAGGTGGTTAATGGCTTGAGACCTTAAAAGCCTGGGACACCTACCACCCCAATGGGATTATAGGTCTGTTAGGCAGACTAAACATTCATGTTGGGGGCACCGACTCCCCTGGAAAGTGTTAGATGGGCATTGCCAATGTTTGTCTTTGTAACTTTACACTTTCCTCACTCTTTTTGCCCTGTAAACCTTCTTCTAATGGATATAATTATTTGCATTTGTCAATGTCATCCATCAGTTTAGAATCCTATCCATTGGTTAGTCCCAAACTCTTAATGTGACTTTACATCTTTGTTTAAAACCATTTTTTTGGACTTTGTACTATCTGTGGACATGCTTACTTCTGTGGTCTGGAGGAGCTGCTCAGAGTTATCCCTAATATCTCCTGTGGGAGCCTCCACTTCCACTGGAATTGTCTTTCATACCAAAATCAGGACTCCTGGCTGTTTGGGCCTCGTGTATAAGCTCATATTCACAGTTGCCAAGACCTACAGCTTCAGGTCTGGGTTGGGGATTGTCACCTATACTCTGAGCCACCCCCTCCCACTCCCAGGGAGATAAATGGACCCTTAGGGGCAGAAATAGATCTCCAACTATTAGCCATAGGTCAACTTAGTCATGGTGAGTTATCAGATAAAAGGGGAGGGTTATCTGTAACTGAATAAATTAAAATGCAGAAAAGGAGCATTTTGTGGCCTTTTGAGTGCTCTGCTGTCTATAGAGGACAAGTGGGAATAAAGGAGAGAGAGAGAAAGAGAGAGAGGGAGAGAGGGAGGAAGGAAAAGGAAAGGAATGAAGGAAGGAAGGAGAGAGAGACAGAGAAAGAGAGGATCAGGATTTCTCAACACCTGTACCATTGACATTTGGACTTCGTTGTGGGGGCCTGTCCTGTGCATTGTAGGATGTTTAGCAGCATCCCAGGCTACTAAACACTTGTAGTAATACTTTACCCCCATCAGTCTTACAGCCAAAAGTGTATTCAGACATTATGAAATGTCCCCTGGAAGGTAAAATCATTTAGACCAATGCATCAGAATCACCTAGAAGGTTTGTTAAAACGCAGATTGTTAGGTGTTAGCCCAGGGTTTCTGATTAGGTGGGTCTGGAGTGAGCCTGAGAATTTGCATTCTACAATTCCTGAGTGACACTAATGCTGCTGGTCCCAGCCCACACTGAGAACCCCTGGTACAGATATTTGCTCCTTCATTACAGTCCTTCCGTGGCTCAGTGCCCCCCACTACTTTCCACCACCCAGCCTCCCCTCCACCACCTTTTCTGTGCCCAACACTCATACCCACCCTGCCCTCTCCAAGCCTTCAGGGCTTGGCACATGCCTCTCTCTGCCTGATGCCTTCTTCATTCTTCTGCTTTTCTTGGATTATCATCATCTGCTACTTTCCTTCAGATCTCTCCAATATCCCTCCACTTCCAGAAACCTTCCCTGATCTCTTTAGCTTCTATGGGTGCCCTCTAGCCCTCTGTACCCACCTCATAGAGATACTTCTCCACTTGTTTGGAACATTTCCGTTTCCATCTCTTTCCCCAGCAGGTGACTCTTTCTTCCCAGTTTACCCCTTCAGGGTGAGAACAATGTTTTTTTCCCCTGTGTATCCAGGCATCCAGCCCAGCGCTTGGCACAGAGCAGATTCTCAGTAACTGTTTCTGGAGTGAATGGACAGAGGAGCAGGGAGGTGCTAAGAGATCAGCAGCGCGTCACTGGCAGGTGCAGTGGGGGAAGGGGAGAACCCACCCACACAGGTGTGCTGAGCTCACTAGGTGACAAAACCAATATCATCACTCACCTGCTCACAATCACCAAAAGCAGCTTTTCTGAAAAGCTGGAGAGACTTCCTATATTGCCCTTTATTTGTATTGATTATTTCATCACAAAGGCCACTGAGCATTGCTCATAATGTTGTTCCCATTCAGCTTTCTCTGAAATAAAATGGTACCATATTGGCAGGCAGCATCTCCTCACCACCAAAAAAAAAACAGAAAGTGAACTTTTAAATTAAAAAATGTGGGGACTTCCCTGGTGGTCCAGTGGTTAAGAATCTGCCTTCCAATGCAGGGGGTATGGGTTTTATCCCTGGTCAGGGAGCTAAGATCCCACATGGCTCATGGCCAAAAAAACAAAACATAAAACAAAAGCAGGGCTTCCCTGGTAGCGCAGTGGTTGAGAGTCCGCCTGCCGATGCAGGGTACACGGATTGGTGCCCCGGTCTGGGAAGATCCCACATGCCACAGAGCGGCTGGGCCCGTGAGCCATGGCTGCTGAGCCTGCACGTCCCGAGCCTGTGCTCCGCAATGGGACAGGCCACAACAGTGAGAGGCCCGCGTACCGCAAAAAAAAAAAGGAAAGAAAAAAACAAAAGCAATATTGTAACAAATTCAATACTTTAAAAATTGTCCACATCAAAAAAAAAAAAAAGAAAAGAAAGACCAGAAAAGAAAACATTTTAAAACCCTCTGTCCATTTAGATTCTCAGTCTTGGCAAAACTCTAATAATGAGGTCTTTGTCTCAAATGAGACTTGATATATATATATATATATATATTTTTTTTTTTTTTTTAAAGAAGATGTTGGGGGTAGGAGTTTATTAATTAATTAATTTATTTTTGCTGTGTGTTGGGTCTTCGTTTCTGTGCAAGGGCTATCTCTAGTTGTGACAAGCGGGGGCCACTCTTCATCGTGGTGCACGGGCCTCTCACTGTCGCGGCCTCTCTTGTTGTGGAGCACAGGCTCCAGACGCGCAGACTCGGTAGTTGTGGCTCACGGGCCTAGTTGCTTCGCGGCATGTGGGATCCTCCCAGACCAGGGCTTGAACCCGTGTCCCCTGCATTAGCAGGCAGATTCTCAACCACTGCACCACCAGGGAAGACCCAAGACTTGATATCTTTAAATCTCATTTATTCAGGGTCCACACTAGCACCAAGTTTAAATAAAACCAGGTTTTTCTTTTGGTTTTATTTATTTTTTTCCTCCTCTATGGGAAAAATTTTTAAAAAGCATTCAAATAAGTATTTTTCAGAAATTGATGCTTTATTTATTATGAAAAATTTATACATCCATAAAAGTAGTGGGTTAGGATAACCCACCCCCCCCTCCCCACACCCATCCCACAGCCTCAACCATTATTAACTTGTGGCCAATTTTATTTCATCCATACTCCCAATACCCATTTTCTGTCACCCCACCCCCGCGACCACCACTAGATCGTTTTGAAGCCAACCTCAGTCCAGGGCTCACTCATTCATTAGGTAAAGCAAGCATAGTGCCAGAACACATGATACTTTTAAGAACCTACAAGAACGTTTTAATTTCTTTTAAAGTCAGAAGGAAAAATGAACTTGTAAGGTTGAATAAAATGTTTCCATTTTTTTCTCACATCAGTAAGCAATAACATTTTTAGGATCCCCAAAATCTATTATGGTGAGAGGGGGTCCATGAAGGCAAAAGGGCCTGGGGCCAATGTAAGTCACTATAGGGTCCTCTCCCAAACACTATACCATTTCATCTGAAAATACTGCAGTATGTATCTCTAAAGGACAAGGAATCTTTCTATAAATATAACCACAAACCTATTTCTATACCTAGAATATTATCTAAGCTTCCTTAATGCCAGCAAATGTTCTGCCACTGTTCATATGTGACCATCTAATTTATTTAATAGTTTTTTTTTCAAATTGGAATCTAAACAAGGTCCAAGCATTGCATTTGACTGAAATGTCTCTGAAGTCTCTTTCAATCTGTTAGTTCTCTCTCCCTCTTTTTTTTTTTCCTTGCAATTTAATTAAAGAAACTTGAAGAAAT